AGAAAGAAAGAAAGAAAGAAAGAAAAGAAAGAAAGAAAGAAAGAAAGAAAGAGAAAGAAAGAAAGAAAGAAAGAAAAGAAAAAGAAGAAAGTGCCAACTTGGCCTGACCCCATGACCTAGTAGTTAAGGAAGACGGATCTCACATGGCTGACTGCACAATTCGAGTGTCCTGGACCCGGTGGCTTCAGAAACATGCTAGGTGTGTGTGTACACGCATGCCCAAAATCCCGAAGGGAGGGAGAGATGGAGGAGAAGGAGTTGCAGTACACCATTGGGAGTGCTTTCTCCTTTTCTCTGTCTCTGGCAAGTGTATGCACCTTCTGGTAAATTAAAAAAAAAAAAAAGATAAAAGAAAAAGAGAAGAGGGAACCAGCAGTTAGTGTAATGGCTATGTCGCTGGACTCCTACGTAGTCGACCGCGGGTCACGTACCGGACCCGGTGGCTTAAACTCACGCTGGGTGTGTGTGCATGCGTGCCCAAGATCCCGAGAGGAGAATGGAGGAGAAGGGATTGCGGCGTGACCATCCCCCCTGAGGGGTGATTTCTCGCTTTCTTTCTCTCTGTCTCTCTCTGTCTGTCTCGCGTACACACGCGCCCTATAGTGAAAAACCTCTCCAAAAAAAGAAAAAAGAAACCCTTCTGCAGAGGGTTGGGTTCTTCCAGGCGGACCTCTGCTTAGTCTCCATGACAGGGCAGGGACGCCGACTCACCAGCACCCGAGGTCCTTTTCTTCTTCCGTGCTCCAGCTCGCTTCCCTTTTTCTGTAGACTTAGGTGGCATCTCCTTGCTGTCCTGGGGGAGAGAAGGGACCTTGTAAAAAGGTCTGGACACGAGGATGCGTTCCTGATCCCTGGTCTGAACTAGGAGTCTCAGGAGAGTCAGAATTCTCATCTCTTACACTTTCCAGAAGCTTCAGTTTTTGGTTTCCTAGGAATCGTGGGTGGAGCTGTGGTCTGTGAGGAGGACAGCGCTGTCACTCACCAGCAGTCAGACTCTAGGGACACAGTCATTCCCCTCAACCCTTTTTTGAGAGAAAAGAAATCTCTGTACTGGGCCCCCTTCTTCCTTACTCTGCCTTTTCCTACCAGTAGGGTCGTCTCTGGACGGTGCTGGGCCCTCCTGCTCAGTGACCTTCTCAGGAGGAGCAAGAGAGAAGCCTGACCAGCTGGAGCCTGAGGAGGAGCCAGTCCTGGAAGCCAATCCAGGGTGGCAAATTTCTCTCCCTCTGGGTGGCACTGAGAACTGGAAGGTTGGGTTTCTGGAGGCTGCATGTTGTCAGGACAACCAGAAACATGGACTTCCTAGGAAGGCATACAATACCAAGGTTCTGGAGGGTCAGTTCACCTTATCCCCAGATCCTGTGTGGTTTGAAGAGAAAGGGCTTTGGAATTGATTAAAATTCACTTCCATGTAGGCACTGCCTGCAATTTTGGCGACTTACAAACCACAGGTGTGTGCATCTGAGATGGGACTGTCCTGCTGGCACAGAGGAAAAGCCTGACGGTAGCCATCTTGGGCAACTGACATCCCTTTTTTGAAGACCTCATTGGCCAAATGACCTTAATAAGTTTAATACTGAAGCAGGGTGGGGGTGGGGTGGAGGGACAGGAGGTTAAGGGCATTGGACTCCCACATGGCTGATTGGGGTTTGAGTCCCATATCTGATGGCTTCCTTTCTCACTTTCTCTCTCTCTCTCTTGCACTGTCCCTCTCTGGTCAAATTAAAAGTGAATTAATCAATAAAGTTAAATAATTCTTTAACAAAGAAAAGAAACTGAAGGGGGGGCATAGCAGGTGGCATGGTGGTTAAGGCACTGAACTCCCATGGCTGACCACTGTTCAAGTCCCAGACCGGATAGGTTGAAAAAAAATCACACTGGGTGTGTGTGTATGTGTGACCAAAATTCTGAGAGGAGAACAGAAGAGAAGGGATTGCAGAGTGGCCATCGTCCTGGGGGGTGATTTCTCACTCTCTCCAGGGAGTGCACATACCCTGTGGCAAAAACCTAAAAAACAAAGAAAAGCAACCCTGAAGATCTCCTTCAGAAAAGCATTCCAGTGTGTGGAGATATGAGGGAAATACATTCAAGAGTCATGAGAGTTTCCCGTTTCAGAGAACTAGGACACTGGTGGCCCCACGGACTCCTGGGTGCTAATCCAAAACAATATAAATGGTGAGAAAAGGGCCCTGGTTAGAAATAAGAGAAGGAGGGACCAGCAGATGGCATAATGGTTATGTTGTTGAACTCCCACGTAGTCAACCAAGGTTTGAGTCCCGGACCCAGTGGCTTAAAACTCATGCAGGGTACGTATATGCATGCACGTCCAAGATCCCAAGAGGAGAATGGAGGAGAAGGGATTGCTGTGTGGCCATGCCCCCAGGAAGTGATTTCTCGTTTTCTGTCTCTCTGGAAAGCACATGTACCCAATAGCGAAAATCTCTTAAAAAAAAAAAAAAAGGAGAAGAAGAAGAAAGAAAGAAAGAAAGAGACATCAATTCTGTCCCCCTTCTGAAGTAAAACGTAGGTAAACTTCAACAAGCTATTTGCTCAACCTTGGTTTCCTGGTCTTTAAATCTTTGATTTTATAGATCCTGAAAGGCCTGGGCTCCAATGGTGCATTTGCATGGCTGACTTCTCTGGTTGGTCTATTACCTTGCTCCCTCTGTTCCCTCCCGTGGTTCATTTTCAGGTGTTGAGTAACTACTTTGTGAGTCTCCGTGCAGCATCGGGCGCCCTCTAGTGGACGTTCTTGACTTTCTCTCAGGCCTACCAAACCTTTCAACATGACTTGTTGGGCAGTGTTGAGGGTGACTCCTTTTTGGGGACTCTTGCTACCACCTTGCTGCAGCTGCAAACTGTTGGACAGATAGATCTGGGGAAGAGTACGACGGATGTCTTGTTCTTGTCAGCACTGCCCCTCCCCGCAAGTCCTGTGCTATCCTGGAGCCTTGCCACCCATCTGTCGCCTGCATCTCTGGCACCACGCTGGCTAGAACGAAAGCAGCAGAAACGTCGGGGCTTTTCTTCTTGTGGATACGGGACCCACAGATTTCCAGGTACCTCTCTCCATCCTTGCGCCCCTCCACGTTTTCGGTCAAACGTCAGAGGACTGGAAATGAAGTCTTCATCTGGGGATAGGCGGATTCCGGGGAGGCCAATTTATGTTTATTCATCACCTTGGTGGATGCAAGGTGCTTCTTTTCTTTTTTCTTTTTTTAGGTTTTTGCCTTAGGGTGCATGCAGGGGAGGGAGAGAGGGATAGAGACAATGAGAGGGAAAGAAAAACATGCCCCCCCCCAGGGGGGATGGCCATGCCCCAACCCTTCTCCATTCTCCTCCTGGGATCTTGGGCATGCATGCATGCGCAGCCCGTGTGATTTTTCTAGCCACTGGGTCTGGGACTCCAACCACTGTGGCCATGTGGGAGTTCAGCGATGTAACCACTTCACCATGTGGTGGCCCCAGGGTACTTCTTTGACCCTTTGAACATTTTATGGAGTGCAGAGATGAGCCAGGTGTGCCTTTGCCAGAGCTTACAGCTCCTGTAACTCTTGTCTGGCTAACCTTGTGTACACCTCAAATCCAAAGAATACTTTTCTTCTCATCTCAAAGCATGTTTTTCATTTATTCTCCCCCCAAAACCCTCTCTCGTGCCCTGAACTGTGGGGCTGGAGGCTTTTTTTTTTTTTTTTTGGGGGGGTTTTTGTTTATGGGGGGCTTGCGTTCGCCAGCCAGCCAGAGAGAGACAGAGAGTTAGAAAGCGAGAAATCACCCCCCCACAGGGGATGGCCATGCCACAATCCCTTCTCCTCCGTTTTCCTCACGGGATCTTGGGCACACAGGCAGACGCGCCCGGCATGAGTTTTAAGCCACTGTGTCTGGGACGCAAATTGCAGTTGACTACGTGGGAGTCCAGTGACATAGCCATTACTCTAACTGCTGGTCCCATGGGACTGGAGGCTTCTTGTCCTTGTCCTTACCTAGAAGCTTGTGTGGGGACTTTTTCCAGAGTGATTCGTGTCTTCCTTATGGTGATGGCGTGGAATGACGTATTGAGGGTAGAAATTACAGAATACAAGCAACTTATGTCTCAGAAGAGCATTTACTTTATAAACATGTTTTAAAAAATAATTATTGATTTTCAGTTTATTTATTCATTCATTTTATTTTAATTTGACCAGAGAAAGACATACACACAGACAGAGAGGGAAAGTAAGAAAGCAAGCCACCAGGTCCGGGACTTGAACCTGTAAGGTCCTAAGATAGATTTATCCGGTGGTGACGCAGAGAAGGCAACATCAATGCAACTGCATAAGAGGCGTTTCTTTTTCTAGCTAGCTGGGGCCCGAGTTAATGCCCGACATAGCGGGTTACAACAAGGGCCCCTAACCTAGGAACGAGGGCCTTTTTATAGCTCAGGAGGCAATACAGGATACTTTATTAGCAGTTTTTCATAGCTTACAGCACACAAAGGAGGAACTATTTGTAGTTAGGAACTATCTGTTATTGCCCGCCTGAATTTAGATAAGAACTTTCAGTTAAGGTAGGTAATCTTCCCTGGGGCCTTCAGGTTTGTTCATCCTGTCGCCTCCAGCCAGACCTGCCCTTCCTCTGTTAACTTGCGAATTCCTGTATCCTGTTGGCTGTGAATTCCTGTCTGTTAATCAGCGAATTCCTGTGCCCCATCTTTGAATCCTTGTCATGGCTGTGAATATGCTAACTCGCTAACTCGGCCTAGCCCTAACATAAGCTAACTCAGCCTGCGGCCCTAGCAAGTGTGTTTATACTAAATTAACCTAAACTAACTTAGCCTACATATGCTAATTACGCTAATTTGGCTTATACTAACTCAGCCTAACATATGCTAATTTGGCCTAACAAACCGTAGTTGGCCACGTGAGAGTGTCCAGCACCTTAACCACCATGCCACCTGCTGGTCCCATACTTTATGAATATGTTGTCAACCAACGTAATGAGGGTGTGGTCTAGGGAGAAGATAAGTGGGATAAGAAAAATGTCACTCATCACATCATCAGATTCAAGATGAATCTAGTATAACCTGGAATGGGAAGGATTAACAATTCGACCCCATGTCTAGTACATTTTCAAAAACAAGCCAAATAAAAATTATGGGGGTGGGGAAGAGGTCAATCTTTCATTGTTGTTGTTAACCTCAGTTCAGAAGCAACAAAAAGAAAGATTATTTCAGCAGAATCCTGTCTTCATTGACCATGACCTCACCCACTTGGGTGTTTTGAAGAGCTGCAGAAGGGAGAAGGGTCATTATTTCTCCTTTATTCAGATGTGAGAGGTCCGTCATTTGCACATTACAAGGAATGTGGCCTGTGGCACAGCAGCACGAACAAAGTGCACGGTATGCAACCCCATGCTATGCAGACCTTACTGAAGGTAATGCAGACTGGAACTTTGGGGCCAGTAGGTGGCGTGGTGGTTAAGGTACTGCCACATGGTCGATTGTGGTCTGAGTCCCAGACCTGGCAGCTTGCTTTCTCACTTTGTGTCTTTCTCTGTGTCTCTCTCTAACCAAATAAAAATAAAAATAAAAAATAAAATAAAATTTAAAAATTCTTTGAAAAAAAAAAGAAACCTTAAACCAAAGATGTGTAATGTATACCTAGACAAGAACATAACACATATTCACAGTTTTCTGATTTGCTTTTCCATAAGATGCATGCACTTGCCAGAGAGAGACAGAGAGAGAGACAGTGAGAGAGAAAGGGAAAACTCATCCTGCATTCTCCTCCTGGGATTTTGGGCATGCACACACAAATGCCTGGCATAATTTTCTTTTTTAAAAAAGAATCATTTACTTTGTTTTACTTATTATTATTATTTGTAAAACTTTGCTATAGAGCATGTGTGCCCACCAGAAGGAGAGAGTGAGCGTGAGAGAGAAAGGATTAAAGTGAGCTGCCAGGTCTGGGACTCACACCATGGTTGGCCATGTTAGAGTCCGGCACTTTAACCACCACACCACCTGCTGGCCCCTACAAATTCAATTTTACTGTACTCCTATAAATCTAGGATTTCACTGTGAAAAATACCTGTGTGCCCACACACTGTGCTAGGTACTGTGGAAGCTCCAAGGTCATGTGGAAGCTCCCTCTCCAAGGGGAGGCCATGTAGCATAAATTAACATGTGGCAAGTGTAAGAAAGAAATGGTTACAGGGCCAGCCCGAGGCCTGGTAGTTAAGAGCACCAGACCCCACATGGCTTGTGAGAAATGCATTCACCCCTCCAATGCCAAAGAATGGACACGGAGACACCGAGTATGGTGAAGTGAGACTTTAATGGCGGTCTTGCAAGGTCAAGTATCTGATGGACAGACACACCCAAACTAGTTACAGAAAGCAATTGATTCCCTAGTGCGCAAGTCCGTCCCCCAGCTCCCCATTGGCTGAGTACTATGGGGTGTATAACCTTCCAGGACATTGCCTAAGTTTTATTGTTCCCTTATGAGGTATTTATTGTCCCCTTCTCTCTCTCTTGTCTGAAGGAAAGGCGCAGGCTCTGGACAAGCCCGCGAAAAAGGCCCACCAAATGTCCTGAGGAGGGAGAAGAACCAGGAAATGAAAAGGAACGAAGGGCTGGTGACCAGCCACCATTTTGAGAAGTCATTTTTCAAGGGTGACCTGTTTTAGGGTTTTGTTTGGTAATTTCCCAGGAATGTGTACTTCCTGGGGTTGTCACATGTGCAAAGTGGTTAAGCAATTTTTGTTAAGTTATTCTTGAAAATGAATCACTTAAGATGATTTTCTTACATGGCTGACCCCAGGGTTGCAGTCCTGGCCCTGTGACTTGAAAAATGCACCGAGTGCATTGGTGTGCTCCCAAAATCCAGAAAGGAGGGAGAAATGGAGAACAGATCGCGACTGCATGACTGTGTCGCATGGGGGGATGTTTTCTCCTCTCCCTCTCTCTCTAGCAAGGGCATGCACCCTGTGGTTATGGGAATTTGGAGGAGGGAGAGATTACTTCTAGCTGGAGTGTCTGGTGAGGAGGACAGTATTTTACATGAGTTGAAGAATGGATTTGGTTTATGGGAACCAGCAGTTAGCGTAATGGCTATGTCGCTGGACTCCCACGTAGTCAACCGCGGTTCGCGTCTCGGACCCGGTGGCTTAAATCTCACGCCGGGCGCGTGTGCGTGCGTGCCCAAGATCTCGAGAGGAGAATGGAGGAGAAGGGATTGCGGCGTGACCATCCCCCCTGGGGGGTGATTTCTCGCTTTCTGTCTCTATGTCTCTGTCTGTCTGGCGAGCGCACGCGCCCTATAGCGAAAACCTCTCAAAAAAAAAAAAAAAGAATGGATTTGGTTTTAGGAGCGAGCTTTAAGCAAAGAACATACTCTGAGTAATGGTGATGAGAAAAGAAGGAATTGTGGTATTTTATGACTTGGTGAGTCACCTGGCATAGAACGTATATACCAGGGAATAATATAAAACTGCAAGGTAGTTTCGTTTAGAGTCGGATCATGACTGCTAATGTTATTCTGGCGGCAATGGGGAGTGTTTAAGATGGTTTGCTTTTCTGTTTGTTTTTGTTTGGGGATATTATCAGAACTATATTTAGGATGGATATGGTGGCAGTGTGGGTTGAAGGTGGCAAGAAAAGGTTTCAATAGTCCAGAGGAGAGGAGTGCCTACCACTAGGATGGTGGCACTAGAAGTCCAAAGTTCTGACAACGATCTAAGAGTGTTGCTTCGATTATTGCCCTGGTAGATGCTTTTCTTTCTAGGTACCTGGTAACAGGAAATTCTACTGAGAAGAAAATGAGAATGTTCATTCCAAAGTCAGTCTTAGATAAAGGCGACTGAACTGCACACCTAGGATGTCTGGCAGAAAGGGCTTTGATTCGAAGATACTTTCCCCTTTTACAGGAGCTCAGGTGATATACTTACTCCCTCATCAGTCAACGAAGGGCTTGGTGGAAGAGCCAGGCAGGGGATGAAAGGCGGAACTGAGTACTTACTGACTCACCTGACCCTGCCAACTCCCAAAGCTGAGGCTCAGAGTTAGCAAATGAGGGCAGGGCACTTCCTTCTTTGGAAGCCAAGTTCCTATTTTCAAAGTGCTTCCGACGGAACTTTTCGATTAGGGAAGTGGAAACGACAGGGAACAGCATTTCTGTTCCTGGGTGGACCCAGGCCCCCAGCTGTCCAGTTTGTGTGGGCGGGACCTTTTGCTGACAGTGCCCACCTGCGCAAGGCTCTGGTCAGGATGAGTTCAATTCCCAGAAGAGAAACCAGTTTTCAGAAGAATAAAAAGGAAGTGCTTTTCCTTGTTTTCAAGAGGCTAAAAGTCTTGGAGGGAGAGCTCGAGGCCCGAGTGTCTCAAGTCTTTCTGGGCCTAATCAGGCTCGAACAACCCCCAGTCACATTCCTGTTCCTGGTCGTGTCTTACTGAAGAGTTAAAACACCAGGGAGTGGAGAAAGAACTTTCCCTTTGTCCCACTATTGTCTCGCAGTGCGAAGAAGCAAGTAACTCTGAGTTCCATTTCCTCCTTTGTCAGGCGTGGGGGAAAACACTGGACGTTAAGATTCTTGTGCAGCGCTACCTGTCTAATTTCACGCGTCAATGACCCGCTCAGGCGCCAACGTCCAGCCCGCAAGAAACATGGAGGTCTCGGCTTCGGTTCAGTGCGCAAACTCCTCGTCGGACCCCGCACGCTTCCTTCCCCCGCTCCTCCAGCAGAGGGCGCCGGCACGAAGGTTCCGCTGGCCCCGCCCCGGCCCGCCCCCGGGGGTAGGGGCTGTGGGAGGCCGGCGCGGAAACTTGGCCGCGGCTTTCCGGGAGCTGTGGGCACGCCGGCGGCCCGCGGGGTGGTGCAGTCCAGGGTCACTGCCCTGGGCCGACGCGGCCTCCGGCCGCCCCGAGCTCGCCGGCCA